AAACAGTCCCAAAGTCTTTAACATGCAGGTCCACCGTTAAACATCAGATCCGCCTGGAGAGATGCTAAACTCTGTGACCTGTTTCGAACAAAAGACAATATTCAAAACCTTTAGAGCATTTAGACACAGGATCAAGGATAACACTGATTCTGGGAAAGCTGAATGTAGAAAGAGAAATTTAGACCATTTAAAGATATAGATGGGAAAGTAAAGTTGCTAGGGTGCAATAATTACTACAAATAGAAGGTTAAAGAAGTTTCCCTGGAGTGGTACCTCCTTTCCATGTGTGTAGCTACAAGGCACCTTTTGCAATTCTAGGGAGAGTAAGAATAGGAGCCCAACTACTGAGCGTGTCTAAAGGGAACCTCTGGAGCAAGCCTTTATTGTTGTAATTGTGAATATGAAATAAGACCAAGTTGCAGTAGAAATACACAAAATTACATAAGGGTTTTCAAGACATTAAAAACAGTGCCATGCATCACTTACCCTTTAACAAACTGGTCTGACTAGTCCAAAGTAGAAATGGACATTACATCAGTCTTTTACTAATCCTGGGTCAATGATACAGCAAATGCAGATCTTTCACTTTGGGTCACCAGTGTAGTTTACCTTCATTTGGTAAGAATTACACCTTCATTGTCATGTTACAGGAATAAACCTGTATCATTGTGTGATAATCCTGTAGGATGAAATTTAAAATAAATGTCCATGACCTAGAAAATGTATTCTCTTCATAGATGTCACATAGACTAGTAGTCCAAAGTAACTACATCAAAGTCTTGTTCTTTCTTTTTCATTTGATAACTGAACATTATAGAACAATTTAACAGGAGACAACTAAGAGACTTTCACCAAAAGTAACTTGTCTGCAGTATAGTTGGAACAAATAAATTATATTCTGGATGAAACAAAAAATCTTTGAGACCCACATTACTAAACTTAATGCAAAGAAATTAAGTGTCATGTATGCTATTGGCAGATCTGCTGCAATCTCATCATTAGATTTATAGCATTTTGAACAAGACAATGTCATAAAATTCACATGCCCCCTTTCTGATTTCTCAGCCCATTTAACTAAAATATGACATCCTGACAATCTGCACTTGACATACATTCATTAGCACAAACCTAAACTGATAACATCATGGAGTTTGTCAAATTTTAAAAGTTAGTCACTAGCCACTTACTGCACCATAGTTAAAAAGAAAGATTCATAGAGAATACCAAGTCTTTTTACTACCAACACAGATTGAACTATGTATGACACCTGATTACTCTCAAGGAAGAATAGTCAAATGATATTCTCGGTGTAAAATGGAAACAATTTAATCAGTAAAGAAGAACACCTGTCTGCAAAAGAATGCTAAACCTTCACAAAACTGTGCTGCATTCCTGCAGCAGGGTCTTGACAAGAGCACCTCTAGGGATTCCCTGAGTATCCTGGTCCCTGTACAAAACATCGCTTTCAACCTCTGTACTTTCTCTCTAATACTACCAAGCTTATTACCTTCAAATAATACAAGATGTGGTAACCACTCAAAGCCTCGTGTCAGAGGAAACAAAATGAGTGAAGGTACAGTCTTACCCAGGAAAGTTATCTTCTTAGTAATTGCTCCCTTCAGGTACTACCTCTTGTAATTCATATGCTATGGCAAGTGTGATGAGTTACCAGTCTGGTCAATAAATATGCTAGATATGCTGAGCCATATCTACCACCATCTAGCTATCTGATGCAATATAAATTCAGTCCTGAATATTTCTTTAATAAAGCACTATGGGGAAATTAGTAGAGCAGACTTATTTATTGATTTTAGTCCAAGAGCACAATGGTTCTTAGCGGGAAAAATTGGCTAAAAAGAAGTAAACAAGTGATTCTAAAATAAAATATTGTTACAGTTTAATCATGTAGAGAGAAAACTCATTATAAAATGAGGACAGATATTCATTTCTGGCTAGGCATGGCAGTGCATGTCTCTAATTTCAGTACTCGGGAGGTTGAGGCAGAAAGAACACTGAGAGTTTGAGACCAGGATTACATAGTGAGCTCAGGACCAGCCTGAACTACATAGCAACACCCGAGCTCAAAAACATCATTGCAGAGCACCAGAAAAGTTAAAAAATTTTCAAGTTCTCTGGTCAAATGGGTAAGAATATACATATAAATGACTGAAGCATACCATACAGAGAATTTTTTGACTGAGGAAACTGGAATATGCTGAATATTGTCAACCAAAAAAGACAGGAATTTTAATTTAAAACCTAAAACTATAAGAAGTGTTTGGGTTTCTTTTTTTTTTCCTTTTCTAGTATAATAGTACTCTAATCCTTCTGCTTTATTGAAGTGTTCTACTGTGCAGGACTGGAATACAACTTGAATATACCTAAGTGGTCTTTATCAACTGTATTCATAAGGCCTAAATATAAGTTTGCTTACTGTTATGAGAATCAATGCTGCTTCAGCATATATGGAAGGTTTTAACCAGCTATCATGGACTATTGTATTTGTTTCAACCTCTCATGCTGTAGTAAGAGTCTATATGCAGGTGAACCATTAAGAAGCATTTAGCTTTGACTGGATTGGGGTTACATGAGATTACCCTGATGCTATTCAAATATTAAAAATCTGTGACATACAGAATTTTAGTTCAGCTAGAATAAAGTGGAACTTGCCTCATCCCTATGGGAACAGTCAATTCTGTCTGAGACACTGAGATACTCTGATAATAATGCCACAACCTCCCAACAAGATTCCTGAAAATTCAGCCCTAAGGGATATCCAAAAGTCGATATTTCATTATCTAAATCAAGTATAGGTATAAATGCCATCCCCAGAGTGTAGTTAACTCTAACTTTTAGGTCACACTTCCTGTCAATCATTGAGTTGTGAAACTAAAAAAAAAAGTTTGTACCTTCAACACACTCAATATTCAAAGGTGGGATAGACGCAGGATAAAACCAATGAACATGCCTTCTCAAAAAGGAGACGAATGATACAAACAAGCTATTTGTTCATAGCAATTCTGAAATCTAGTCAGGCTAATGTTAGGAATGCCTTGTTTGGGTTTCAAGACCTAGAGTATATTCTTCAGGGTTCAGGTTACCATACTTTGCTAATTTTTGGCTTCCACTTTGGGCAGGATTTCTCTTTATTTTATAACAAATAGACCTGGAGCTCTAAAGTTCCAAATCTCTACCATTTCAGGAGAGAATTCATCTTTCTTCAGAGTTCCAGCAAGAATTCCAAGAACTTTGTTTGGTAAGCCTGACCAGATGCCAATCTTTAGATTAAATTCTTTGGAAAGATGACACATACAACTAACAGACCTTGATTATGTAACTATCTCCAGAACCTAGATTAGAATCAGTCTCATTAGAACTGTATAAGATTAAAAGTCCACTGTCTGTTCACTAAAATGTTAATGATATAACAGAAAATGTTACAGTGCTCCAATGTGAAAGAAATATTTTCAGACTTACCACCAAAATTCTATTTTACATGCAAAGAGTAAAGGCAGACAAGTAGGATACAGCATCCCTGCTAGAGAAGCAATATTCAATGCAAGGAAATAATTTGAAGGGGACAAAATTTCCCCCATACCTGGCAATGTTTAAAGTGAACTGTAAATGTTCCTGACACCAAATCAACATTTGCTGGTTGGAGTCTGAAATTAGGAAGCAGTACTTTACCACTGAGTATCATGTGGCACCACAAGACAGCGTTGAGCAGGCCCAGCAAAGTCAGGGCAGTGAAAACACAACCATTGTGACCACCACAGAGATCGTTCCTCTAGCTATCCTGCTTGGAAGGTAAGCTACTAACAATAGCCCACCATTCGGTTAGTATCTGTAATTTTTATTAAACTGACCTGTGCCCCACTAAAAATATAAATACTTCTCCTCCCAGGGTTTTAATTACTCCCAATTTTTTTTCATAAGTCCCAAATGTACTAACTACTATTGATGACCACTGGCAAATTCCACCTTCATATTACAGTCAAGAGTCTGGTGCCAAGGTAGGAAAAAATAGGTGCTTTCCTTATAGAAAGTTAAATAACCTTTGGGAGCAAATATGTTACATTATTTTATACAGGTATGAATAGCTCTGTGGTTAATAGATTTATGGACAAATTCCAAGAAATAATTCCCTGTCCACCAATATCTTTGAAGGCATCAATGACTGTATGCAAAATGTACAAAAATTTAGAATTTTTGAAGGAAACAAGAATATTCATTGTATAGAAAACCCACCTGTGGGCCTGGTTAGCACCTTCTTATCTTTTAGGGCCCACCTCATTGGAGAAGCTTTCTCTGAATTAAGGGTAAGGTTATTCTCATTCCTTCCTCTCTCCGCACTTCTCTCCATTCATCTTTTCCTCTCTTCCCTCTCTCCCTCTGCCTTTCCCTGGTTGTCTCCCCTTCTCTGTCTGTCTGTCTGTCTATCTCTGTCAAAACTTGTTTTCTTGATGGAACTTATCTCAGTTTACAATCTCAGTCATTGCTAGTTTATTTGCTTACTGCTTCTCCTACTAGACCACTAAGCTGAAGTGATCATCACATTTGCATTAGTGTCTAACACCGTATCTGGGGTACAGCACCTTTAGTGAATATTTGCTGGATAAGTAAAATGGATACTGGACCCAGGTAGATTAACACTTACCTCTGTTAATGAAAATGCCACAAAGACAAATTCATTCTATTATCAAAGAGTAAAAGAAATGTTTTTTTCTCCACATTGAGAAATGAAAATAAGTAAATATAAGTTGTCTATAATGTTTGATAATTCCACATTATAAATTCTCTAAATACCAGTAAAGTATTTTTGTAGGTCAAAAAATCCAGTATTATATTGATAAGGCAATGGACTGCATAAAATATCATCTATACTATATTTTATTTTTAGAGACAAATTCAAGGATTTAGTCTATGGTTAATGTGGTTTAATAATGACATCTTCTTTACAGCCCAATACCCAACAAAGTAATGGCACAATAAAGGGATGTTTTGTTGTTTTTTTTTTCTCTTTGTATTGTCTTCATACACCAGTAAAAAATAAAATATTTAATAAATAAATATATATAATAAATATTTGCAAGTCAAAAATGTATAAATAGGTCCATTCTTTTAAAAGCTTTTCTATCTTGGTGCGACATGTTTTAGAGTCCACGGCCACCACCCAGTGTTTTCTTTAAACATACGACACCATATCCTGCAAAATTCTACAAGGTCCTCAGAATTTACAAGGCAGTAATCATGGCCAACTATGTCAATCCATTTCTTCAACATGAAGTATCTATTTTTAGTGTAACTTTCAAAGTAAACATCATCCAGAGAAGTGAGGTACCAGCAGCAAATTAGGTGAGGTTCCCATTATCCACAGTTTGATTTTCACCTTCAGTCTACTGGTAAAGGTAGAGCCAAAGTACCTAAGGAAACTTAATCCACTTATGAAGAGTGATCTTGGTCTAGTCCAAGTCAAATATTTTTCTCAGTCTTCTTTCCAAATTTAGTTTTCTAGTGGTAAACACTGTAATATTCTGAATGTCTTCTTTAGAACTATGATGGAAAAGAGTGGTTGTAGTTTCATTCTTTGATGGAGACACTGTCACTTCAAGTGTACATCAGTAGGTCCTTGTATAATTCTGGAACTCTTTCTGGATCCACTGGTCTAGGTAAGAAGTGTGTAAATTTTTGATGTCTTTTGGACCTGGCACCATCTCTTGGCGTTCCATCTTTGTTAAGTGCCACAAAATACCTGCGGCCAGTGTCCCCATGTTTATAGATATTCGAAGAATAGGTGTTATACCAGTTCTCTTCAAATTGTTCCCTAAAGATGCATTCAGAAGTCAGTTTCTCCTAAAGGAAATAAAGAAAAAACATTACTATTTAGAAACTATCTTAGAAATAACTTTCTTGCAAAAAGCTCAATTTTAGAGTTTTAATTCTTTGTTGTAACCAAATCCTTGTCAAAAAGGAAAAAGATGAAATTATTTTTATTTTGGTTCTGTTCAGATAATAATCTGCAATTATTATTCTCAGGAAATTTCAGTTTAGTTCAAAGAATATTCAGCCAATGTTAATCCTCCATTTTATTTTCAAATACTTAACAAATATTCTAGCATTTTCCCATGCTCTGTATTCGCCACTATTACCACCAAACAGATCTGTAGTTGATCTTGTTCCATCATTAGATGCCAAAATTATACACATCAAGTCTTTACTCAAAATAGTCAAGCTCTTGCTAAGATTCATATTTTGATAACAATTCTAAATGACGTGCCTTCTTATGAATTTATTGTTTTATGATACATTCTCCATGACTAACTTCTATTTGGGACTGTAACTATTAAGGTAAATTTTGTGATAACCCAATAATTTCCTATCTTTTCAAGATGGACTATATATTGTCCTAAAAGTAGAACATAGTGGCTTACTTAACCTAATACATGAAGAGTAGCATGTATTTTCTCTACTGTAATTCTACTCTTACAATCATTGCACACTACATTATTTTTCTTTCTCCAGAACTGACAGAGCCTAGAAGCACACATTTGACCCGTACAAAGGACAGATATTAGTATTATTACTGAAATATTACAATCAATTTCTCTCAGTATATATTAAGATTCTAGTAGAATATGTGTCAATTGAGAATTTAAAGAAAAGAGCATAAAAAGTAAATTCTCTATGGAAACAGGTACAGAGGCTTTGAACTGAAGAAGAGGTTTCATATATGGATAAGGGCATGGAAATGGCACATGTTCATATTTTTTTCAAATTATGTAAATAACTGAATAAATAAAAATGTTGACAATGGGAGAAAAATTATATAATGCTATAGAATGAGTTTTATAATGACCTGTTACTCTAGATTTTTTGTTGTCATTACTGCTTTAAACTCAATACTTAAACATATATCATAGATCCAAAGATAACCAAAATATACGATAAATATTTAAATTTTTAAAATTTATTCTAAAAAGACACATTGCCATAAATACCCCTTAAAATACTCTCCCATGCTTCAAACACGTTTTCTCTCTCTGTCTCTCTGTCTCTCTGCCTCTCTCGCGCCACTTTCCACAACAGTTCTGGAAGTCCTCTTTCATGATTACTTTATAAAGTGTGATTAAAAGAAAAATATGGTGAAACTGGTGTTGTGTGTCATCTAGTGGGGGAAAGTCTCATTATAATATTACGGTGTGTGTTTTTATCCACTTTATTCAGCAGATCTGATGCCATGTGACTTCTGGCTCTTCCCCAAAGGCAAAATGACCATGAAAGGTAAACATTTTGAGTAGATTTAGGACATCAAGGCATCTGTGACAGCACAACAGGGTTTTCTTTTTATTTTGAGACACAATTTAACTCCCTAAAGTTCCCAGGGAATTTTGGTTATATTTTGGTTATCTTTGGATCTATGATATATGTTTAAGTATTGAGTTTAAAGCAGTAATGACAACAAAAAATCTAGAGTAACAGGTCATTATAAAACTCATTCAACTTGTGATCTTCCTGTCTCAGCCTCCCAGCACAGGGATTACAGGTATGCACTATCATGCCCAGTTCATAAGTATATTTTGTATACTTCTCCTGACAGACATTATTTTTAGATATTTAATTATAAAATAGACATGATTTCAAGAATAAAAATAAAAATAAATAATAATACATACTGATCCATAGAGTTCTCCTTTGTCATTCATTCCAAGGTAAAGACCACTGTCAACACCTCTAATGCTGACCAGTCCCACTGCCACACTGATAAATTCCAAGATACCTGTATTTGTATGCAAAATAATTATTTGTATTTATTAATGAATACATATGTAATAAAAGTATTACAAATCACAGTAGAATATCAATATTGTTAAATATAATCATGCACTTACATGTAGATGTGCTTAGTAAGCTGAAAAGCATTGTGTGATTATTATTATAATGCTCTTGTTTTTCAGATTTAAAAAGGCTGAAGAGGAAAAAATATGCATCATAATATAACGTTAATAGTATGTAACCTTATATCAGACTGAGCTGGGTTTGAATTCCAATTAATTAGCTTACTAGCTAGGCTAATTTGGCAGATCATTTGTTTTCTTTGAATTCTAACTTTGTCATATGCAGAATGGATGATGTGAATTTAAACATCTAGACATTCAATAAATTAGAAGATATTATTATCATAATGAGCATATTATTGAAATATTTAAAACTAGAAAATACTATCACAAATTAGTATATAATACTGGTGTTCTTGGTCCTCCATGCTTCTGTTAACTAATTATAACTATTTTCTTTAATTGTTTTGCTTTTGTTTACAATGAATCAGGTCAGTCTTTTTCTAGCAGCAGCATACTGGTTACAAGAGTTTTATAGCTTATCAAGGGCTTCCACTTCCACTTGGTCTGGTTTTAAAAGTAATCCCTTAAGATAGGAAAGGAAGGTATTACTATAATTGTTTTACACATAAAAAGCTGAATCAGAAACGTTTATTAACTTGCCAAAGGAACATTATGTTTGTAACGAATAAAACCAATACTTGAATTTTCATCTCCTGAACCCTAATTCAATAGTCCTACTATTTCTTAAGGACAGTATAGCAGTTTCAAGATTTTACAGATACAAAATATGCTGTTTCCTATCATGTGATTTTTTTAGAAAAAATAAGTTACATAGCTCAGAGTAGTAAAGGAACTTTATAACTAATTACATGTGATATCCAAATATCAAAAGCTTAAGCATACATGTAGATTTTGCTACTAATAATTTCCTAGTTTTTTGTTATTAGGCTAGCTTTGAAAACCTCTACTTGATAGACAAATATGCCACAGTTGAAAAACAGAACAAAACAAAACATCATGCCTACCTCTAGCCTTTTTGTCTTGTTTTGTTTTGTCTACATACCAGTAACCTTTGGACTAATACCTTTGTCTAGTTCTTCCCTTTGGACTGCTGAAAAAATGTTGCCATACTTTCTATGGTGGGCCTGCCTTCCTCAATAGATTTCTGCCTTCACCTCTTCACCCTTTCTTAAGCTCTACAAACAGTATAAATGTGTACCATTTAGACTGACTCTTGCTCTTAAGTCATTTCTTGATTTATTGTACAAGTTCCTGCTTGGACACGTGATACTCCCAAGGCCAAGGGAAAGTACAGAATCTGACTACTTGCTGATATAGAGAGCTCTATTCTCTCCAGAGTTTAATTTACTCTTTGGCAGAAACATAGATTCTTAGCAAGACAAATGAGCTCTTTGAAACTATTAGGAGATCATGTAGAACACTAGAGCTATCAAGGATCTTACAGCAACAATACACTACTAAATAGTCTATAAGTGGCTTGAAAGAGCCAGTGTTCCTAATTGAGAGCCTAAGGCGGAGAGAAGATAAGATGTCACAGGAAGACCTGGACTGGAGGATAGCCATCATAACGATAACCGTAACGTGGGGATAAAGGAAAATCAAACTCACTACCAAATTCATCAGTAAGAGAGTCCTAATAATAACAAAAATAGAGGCCCAAAATAAAATTGGTATAAAATATATCATGGGGATTTAATCCAAAATATGATTACTAATTTACCTTAAATCATATTGAATTTTCATTCAGATTAAAAAGCATTCTATAACATGCATAAAACTTGATTTCCTTTAGGTATCTGATTTACACTGATATACTTGTCTTTCAAAGAACAGGAATTAAGTCACTTAATAGAATGTAGGCCAGTTCTCAACAGTTGAAGGAAATAATTTCCTTATAGGCAAATTATATACCATCTCACAAAATATTAATTTTTCCTGGAAAACCAAATAGTAAATGACTGAGATTTGCATTCTCATTTTAAAACAATACTATCATTCTACAAAAAATGTAATTGTAAAAATAAAAATGATTACACATGTTCTTAGAGTACTTATTTATATTCAGTTGTTTCAGCCTTATTAAACAACATCTAAAACCTCAGACACAACCAAGCATAAGTAATTTTGCAATGGCTCATGGAACTGATGGGAAAAAGGTTATGTGTTTTTGTGTTCCTCTTAAAGATTTTAGCCACACTTTATAATTCTGATCCTTTTTCTCCCCACGGTAATAGTATACCACATAGTAATTTGTAATCATTTGATTCTTAAATTAGATTTGACAAGTCTTTCTTATTTATAATATGAGGTGGCAACTAAGCTAATTCCTTTACAAAGAGTAGACATGAAAAAATTTCCTTAAGAGGTAATCACAGATTTTAGATAGATTTTCTAATGCCCAGTGTCCCATAAAAAGACTTGGAGGTACTTTGTCTTTCTGGTATCATTTTCAAAGCCAGCCTTTTAAAAAATCATAATAAACAGGTGAGTCAACCCACAATGCAACCACATCAGACAAATCTATGGAGAATAAGGGAGAATAAAGGAAAAAAGCTTTAAAGGACTATGTTTGATCTCAGGCTCAATCTTTTTTTTAAAGAAATGATTCCATGTTTATGTATTAGGTAAGGCCTTCCTATGGTACTATTGTGCATAAAAGCTGCTTTAAATATAGAATTAACTCAGATAGGGAATTACTTTAACCTCAGTGAGACACTCCTGTTTATGTTCTATTGACACGGTATTGAAATTTTACATACATAATTCTGAATTTTTATTTGGTCATGGCTAAATTAGTATAAAATTACCAAAATATGTTTAATATTTTAAATGGCCATTCTTAGTTTTTTTTCCAAATTCTTATTCTGATGGCACAGAAATGAGTTTAGAAAAACAGCAAAGCAATTGATTTAATAATGATGTTGAGATGATAATTAAGAAAGGCAGACCTAGACAGAAGCATGTAACGTCATGAGCTTCTTTTTCACCTATACTCCCTGGTATTAAATTGTGATATCTAAGCTATTACAGGCCACTAGGATGCACTATGATGCATCATATAAAGACTGCTCCCTCCTTTACACGGCCAGACTAATCTGAGTTATCTTCCTTTTATGTACCAAAGAATATTTTGTTCCTATATATAATTTCCCACAATAGAGCTGACTTAAACCAGCACAAAAACAACCTAAGTCGTAACTTTACAACTACTAAGACTACCAAATTCTAGTTGAAAAACTTGTGCTAGCAGAATGTTGATTCTGACCCAAAGCATTCATTCTTAAAGGAAAGGACTGAAATCTCAGGTGAAAGTTTTATCAAGTCTCCAACTGTGTATCTCTTTGCATAAGGTCAGTCTTGCAGAGACACAAAGCAGCAGGGGCAATTCTTGTCACGGAAGAAGTCACAACTGAGTAGTATCTTAAAGGAAGACTTTCCACATCTACACTGTGCTGGGCAGGAGAGTCTGAATGTTTCCTAAACTTAACTTCTACCTGCTCTACCATCACACTGGGTCCATTTTAAATCTTCCTGGTGGCTTGAGGATGCTTCTGTCCTGAGTAGACTGCAATCATTTTTAAAGAGAAGTAAACCACCTGGTATTGCCAAGTTCTTGAAAACCAAAATCTCAGCTACCTCAATTTAAAAAAAAAAAATGACCCCAGGTTGGCCACTAGGTCATGACACTCTTGACTCACAGTCAGTAGGAATTTGGAAGAGATCAGTGGAAGCTACAAACATATGGGTTTTTTAAAGTTAATTTTCTAAGCCTTTAAGTGCTACCAAATGACCACCACATGCTTATTTTGGCATCTAAAGTTAGAAATGCCCCTTAAACGGAGATTTACACTTCTCCAAAGTTTTAATGAGCACTACCAGTCCAAAAAGAAAGAAAGTATAAGACCAACAAAGGGAAGAGGACAAGATAACAGGGTCACTCATAGATGAGATTTTCCAAGAATTCTTATAGAACAAAGGAAGGGAAAAGAGACTGTGTTACACTTTCATATTGCTGATGGCAGAATCTGTTTAAAAGATAATGAATCTCTCCAATGATATCACAAATTAAATCATCAAACTTCCTCAAGAGTTCTAGTAGGTTAACTCTAATGCAAGGAAATCAGGTACAAGGAAAAGATCCTGGTATGGTAGAATCAGAAAGTACTTAAAGAGATGGTCTAATTTAACCCATCAATGTGCAGATTAGAAAAGAAAAAAGAACTAAGACTCATCCTGAGGAAGTCACCTGTTAGTTACACAGCTAATTAGAAAGTAATTTATGTTAGAATCCTTATAATTTTCTAATCTAATTCCTAATCCAGTGTCTGTGACAAGCGCTGTTAATAATCATTTCTTTAACTCCTCTGCTCCCAGACACTGCTGCCTAAGATATTGCCAAAAGTCTCTCTGTTCTGAGTTCCCAGCCATATCTCCTTTCCTTTCCCCATTTCCTCTTACCTAACGTCAATATCAAGATCGCTGCTTTGAGTTTCGCAATTGCTAAAGAGGATTTTGGCTGAAGAACTGAGCATGCTCAGTAGCTTTTCCTCCCTCTTTTTCAATCTGTCACCCACATAGAAATCTAGCTCAGAGAACGCAAGCTAAGTGAGCCAGACTGTAACAACGGTGCCTGTGGAAAGTTAATCTGTTACGTGTTCAGGTGAACATTTACAGTTCTCTAGGTAGAAACTTGAATGGTCGCATCCTGTGCAAGGGCAACCTCCGGGAGCAGTGGCCACGGATGGATAATTAACTGCTTAGAGGTGTTTAAAGGGGCGGGGTGTTTCCTGTTGTTAATTTTTTGGAAAGTGGACGGTAGTGGGGAAGTGTGAAAGGAAGTAGGAGAAAATAATAAAAGGACATTTTTCATATAATGAAGCTGATTGAGGGATCAGGGGCTAACAGAAAAAATTAGGATTCCACGTCTAGGTCCAGGTGTCTCAAGCAGCAGGCAGGGCAGCGCCCAGGAGCACTCTGAGCGCGCATCCTTGTCCCGGGCCCAGGCTGAGCCCAGGTGGGCTCTGGGCCGTCCCCACCGCTGCCGCTCCGGAGCCAGGAGGGAGGCCAGCAGGGAGCGGAAGGGGGCCGAGCTGCGGGACGCGGGGTGGTACCTACCGAAGAGGCTGTGGTCCTGCCGGGTGCCCTGCACGCTGCCGTCCGGCAGGATCTGCAGGTGGAAGCCGGTGCGGCAGTAGAGCTGCCGGCGGCGCAGGACGCCGTGCAGGTGCGCCAGCTCCGCAGACCCCGGCCCGCCCCGGGCACCGCGCTCCGCCGCGCCCCGCCGCTCGCCCAGCAGCGCCGGCCGCTCCCCGGCAGGAGGCAGCAGAAAGTGCGAGCCCACCTGCTGGCCCAGGCTCTCCAGGCCGCCCAGGAAGCCCCCAACTTCGGCTAAGGGAGCCATGGAGGGGCCAGAGCGAAAGGCAGAAGGTCCGGAAAATAAAAGGGCCCCCCAATAAAAAGTGCAGCGGGGGTAACGGGGCGAGCAGCGATGACAGCAAAACCAGGCAAAAAGTTGATGCCCGGTTACTCCGGTGAGGTCCCCGCAGGAGCTGTGCACCGAGACCGCAGGAAAGCTTTCGCTGTCCTGGAGCGATCTTCTCCCCTTGGGCAGCTGAGGGCAGGCTGCTGGCTTTGCAGAAACATCTATAGCTGCCGCTGCCACTGCTGGTTAGGGCCTGGGGCCGGGGGCTGGGGCTCCACCTCCGCACACCGGTCAGATGAGCCCTGTGTACATACACACCGAGTATATATGCCAGGCCTCTTGACATATGCTAATCAAGTCCTTTCATGCTCGCTGGGGAAGTTGGCTCTGTTTGAAATCTTAAACCGGCCTCCTCTCAACACGTTTTTGCTCTTCGGAAGTGACCCAAAGGGGCCCTTGACGGTTCTCTGTCCACGCACTCATAAAAATCATTCCTGCACTTGACCACAGCCAGCCAGCAAATTCGGGGAGGCTCAGTGCAGGTTCCTCTTCGGGGTTATCTTTGGGACAGCGGTGATGCTGTTGGACCGCTGCTGCGCCACCCTTTGATGTGAGCTCTTTTGCAGTGAAAGACCTCTGGGAAAAGGAGCCCCGCTTGGCTGTGTGCAGAAAGGGGGAGGGGTCCGCAAGGAGGGGAGGAGTGGGAGGAGAAAGAGAGGAGAAGAGGGGAAAAGTTGGACTCCTTGAGAGCTGCTGGGAGCCAGCAGTGGACAGGTGCAAAAAACAGTAAAAGAAGAGAAAAGGGCGTTACCTGAGGCTTAGACCTGCCCAGACACACATGAAAGGAAAATCAAAGCTTTGACAGTCTAACTCACTAATTTTTAAGACACTAATAAAATGTACACGCATTACCCTTTTCTTTTATCATTTAGATGGGGGATTTTCTTTACATAATCAGGGTTAGGTTAGGAACACCCTACCCTTGCATCCCAAGTTCCCTTTAATGTTTATCTTTACTTGGATACTATATGACATGACCAGCTTGTTTCTGTATGAAAGTGCCTAAGTCCTGGATTTTAATTAGCATAAAAATAACAATATCATCATGAATTAAGGAAAATAGTGAACCCAAATAGGCTGAAAACCTATGGTTTACATGGTTATATTTTGCCACAAATAGAAAATGAATAACTGGAATACTGTCATAAATGATGAGCGACCTCTTTGGGTCTTGTCTTCTTCCCAGGTGCGTTTTCTTGAAGGCTAGACCTTGAGGAGGGGTCAGTTATAAAGCTTAGAACCAACTAAATGGAAAAAGTATTGTTGACTGATATAGTCTGAGACTTTAAATTTTACTGGTAAAATTGAAGACTGCCTGAGAAAGTCACTGAAATGAGGGATGCATGTATATTTAAATACTAAAATGGTTTTGTGCAAAAAATTCAAGATTCAAGTTGGGAAACATTTAGAAGATTTATGCTTCCCCTGAGCAAAAGGTTTAGAGAGTCACTCCAGATTAGTTTTTAAGTCTTGTTTCATGGTCTAGTCAGCAAAAGCCTAAATCTGGGAGCTCAGCTGGATTTGACTGGTTCATTTTCTCTGAAGGATTTTTTTGTATTTTGTGTTTTTCTGTTTTGGGTATTTTTTGCTAATTAATTGGCAAGTACCTTAAAGTTGGTAGAGTTTCATCTTTTCATCACCACATACCAGAGCCCTGACCCTTGTGCAACCAAATTGTAAGAGCAGCTGATTACTATTGCTAGATATGAAATAAAAGCACTGGCTGAAAACATTAAACAGATAAATCTCTTTAGAAATGTATATTGCAAAGTCTGTTTTAAATGTACCAGGTAGATGTCATATTATTTCACCTTTCAAATAACAACAGTCTATCTTGTGGTAGGATTCTCAAATCCACAATAATCAAGATTTCAAAGCACATCTGTGTAAACATTATCACATCAGTGTAAGACATCAACCAATGAGCTTTTACTTTGAACCAAATCTTAATTGCAGTGTTAAATCAAAGAAAGTTAGATCAAAGTTGTGTGAATCTTGTAGCGGGATAAGGAAAGTATCCAGATCATACATTGATCACTTTTAAAGAACAAATACTTAAAGGTTTTTAATTTAGATCAAGTACCTTTTAATGAGGTTTGTTTCAAGGTCTAAGTTCTATGCAGCATACAGTCCTGTTAATTATTCTACAATGAATACATGTTATTGTCACCTGCTCCTAAAGATATGAGTTCAATAAAATATTTCCTCAGTGAACTCTGTAAGCCTGCTGTGTAATTTATGGTGCTAAGAATGTTTTACTGTCTTGCTTCACACACACACACACACACACACACACACACAAATATATATGGGGAAATCTTCAAATGTAGTCAGCAAACCACAGAGTTTAATGATAGAGCTGCCTTGTCTTTGTGCACCTTAACATTTTTTATGTGTTTTCCTGTATTTGATCACAATGACCCTATGGCATAGGTATATTTACTTCATTGAAAAGAATGTCCTGAATTCTGCCTAAATTAGTACAGAGTCCAACATCCCAAGGCAATTTCCTTAACCCCTTCAAATATGTCTATTTCTTCTTTGTGAAATATATACAATATAACTCTTGCTTAGTACACCATGGGTAAGGTTGCCATAGACTTAAATGTGAAAATATATAGGAAATAGATTTTAAAACTATAAAGTTTTCTATATATATATTATGTGCTAGAAAACTTCAGTTGTTGGGATGTTTTTTATTTTATATGTTTTAAATGTAATCTCTTTAAAATACAGACTAAATGCTTTCTTCCCAAAACAAACTTTTAATGTGTAAGTTGTGAATGGTACTCAATACCATTTTATAAAGAACCAGACTAGAAACAAAAAAGATAAGGATTTCTTTTGTTTGTTCTAGTCATGTGACAGGAAAAGATAACATTAAAGATTTTTTTGCACATGCTGTGATGATATCATGGGAAGTTAAATAATTTTGAAGAGTGTTTTACAAGAGTACATTATTCAACTTTTAAGTATACACTGCAATCTAATCAACTTTGCCTATACAGTACTTCCTAGAGACCACACTTGCCTTGCTGTTATACAAATAGGTTGTACAACTTCTGCTTCCACAAGATGTAAGTTACAGTTTTCCAGAACATATAGCTCTATAGCTTTTCATTCCTCATATTGATAAGAGGCCTTGTTTCTACACATGGAAAAAAGAAACAATGTCTTTCATTGCTTCTACACGTATGTAACCTGAGAAAAAGAGCTGTTTTAAAAGTCATGACTTACACCCACAGTAAAATAATACATTTGAACAATATTATTCCTTATCTTTAATACAAGGCATTGGCAACAACATAATTTTCATACATAAGAAACTGGTTGAGGGTTGGATGTGGTGGCACATGCCTGTATTCCTAGCATTTGGGAGGCTGAGGCAGGAGCATTGCTGCCATAAGTTTGAGGCCAGCCTTGACTACAAAATAAGTTCAAGTCCAGCCTGAGTTACATAGACAGAAAACCCTATCTCAAAGAGATTTTTAAAACTTTGGTTGAATAATTTATGACACACACATAGAAGCTGGGTAAAAGCGTAAGAAAGAACTTATGAGCTAATATGAAGGATTTTCGGGCCATATTATTTTATTATTATCCAAAAATGCAAAGTAAAGAAGAGTATTTATAGTGTGCTACATTCTGTAAGAAAAGAGAAAATTAAGAAGCTTCCACATGCATATACTTACTTTTAAAAGTAAACACAGGATGGTAAATAAAAACTAATAACACTGGTTAGCCAGTGAATGAAGCAGAAGAGATCGGGAAGTGACACTTCTCTAAGAAGAAACTTTTGACGTTTCATGAAATGGTTATGTTTTACATTTTTAAAGCAAAATAAAATAAATAAGGGCAGAGATGGTGGAACAACACCAGAAACAAATGAACACAACTTTATTCAAGTGAACAGCATAACCATGCAAAGGAGAATAATATTATTGTTTTAAAACTAACTCTCAAATAATCTTTGATTATATAATCAAAGACATAAATGAATAAATTTTTAATTTCAGTGGAAAAGATTAATTTTCTTAGTGGTAAGAGTTAGAGAAGTACATTATAAGACTAAGCAAATGAGCAAATATATAGAGAATAACAAAAGCTACATTCTATTGCTAAAAAAATGGAGTTCAAATATGAAAAGAAAAGACTAGAATGAGCTTGAAATGAGTACAATGTTGAATTGGAATTGCAGTTATCTGTATTAGCACATTCTCTCTCTGTCTCTCTCTCTCTCTCTCTCTCTGTCTCTGTGTCTCTGTCTCTCTCTCTCTGTCTCTCTCTCTCTCTCTCTCTCCCCCCCCCCGTATGTGTGTGTGTGTGTGTGTGTGTGTGTGTGTGTGTGTGTGTGTGTGTACTTATATCTAAGCTCTGGCCACTAAATGAGCCCAGCAGTAAACTTATTTCAGGGTAATAAGAACACCTACTGCTTAGATCTTAGTCTCTGAAACCAATCTCTTACTGAAATGATCAGGGAAGCTTTCCAGAAGTGAGGCATATTTTTGTGCCACAAGACAAAGATGTCCATAAAAATGATGTTATCACAATAGAACAACATAAATTTTAAAAATGATTAGAACTGACAGGGCCAGGGATTTAACTCAGCGGCATAAGCACCTGCCTTGCAAGTGCACAGTTGTGAGTTCAATCCCTGGTACAAAAAAAAAAAAACACTTATGAGGTGATAAATTGGAGCATCAGAATGACTGAAAAAAATTTATAGACTAAATAAGAATCTTTGAGTGCAACTTTAAATAAACAAACATACAAATAAATGAAACCTATCTTGTGCATATCAACTGATAAATATTGAAAGAATAATGAAATTTAAAATAACCATTTTACATCCTTCATAGAATCATTGCTGGTCCAGAAAAAGTCACAAATTTATTTTAAAGCAAATAGCTAAATGTTTGATTGAGACAACAAAAATAGAAAAAAAGAAATGTTTGATGAAATGTTGAATGTATTCATAAGTGCATATATCCAATGACAAAAACAGTAACTATAGAAGATTAATCTAGTGAATACTGTTTATTCCACACAACAAATATAAACAATAGCAATGTGACAAACTAACACCACATGAGCCAGATGCAGTGGCACACGCGTGTAATCCTGGCATTGAGGCAGGAAGATCACTGAGTTTGAAGCCTGCCTGGGCTACATAGTGAGTTTCAGTTCAGCCTGAACTACATAATGAGATCTTTTGTCTCAAAAACAAAACAAAAACACCATATGTTTCTTGACACCGGAAAGACAATATCATGTTTACTTATGTGTTGTTCTTGTCAAAAACACATATCCTGAATGTATTCATAAGTGCATGTATCAGATAATCCCCCAATTAAAGGATATTCTGTAAGACAACTGGCTTGAGTATTTTTAAATGCCATAAGAAAGACAAAAAAATGAGAAACTATAGAAAGTGCTCCAGATTAAAGAAAACTAAGAAGACATGAAAATTAAATATAATATCATGTAGGATTTTGGTCTGGAAAAA